TTAAAATAGCATTAGAAAAAAAATAAATAAATAAAATAGCATTAGGACCAAGTTTTAGAGTTTGGGTGCCCAGGACCCCGGTTTCAGCCACCTGATCACCTCATTTAGGTCTCTATGAAAATATCACCTCCCCCGAGAGGTCCTCCAGGATTGTGTTTATCTAAAATCACACCCCGTTCCCCCCCAATTGGTTTTTCTCCAGAGTGCTCATCGCTCCTTGACAATATATAATATATTTATTACTTCTTATTTTCTTCAATAGACTGTGAACTCTAAGAAGGTGGGGTTTTGCTTGTTTGGTTATCACTGTAGTTCAACACCTACACAACTACCTGGCAAAGAGGGAGCCTTTGGCACCAATTTTTTGAATAAATGAATGAATATTCCAGGAGTGCAGAACTGTGTTTAATTAAACTTTGTTTAGTTTGTTCAAATTAAGATCTGATTTAAGCAAACAGACACTAAGATTGAGGCATAAATAAAAGCAAGCTGTCAGTCAAATTATAGAGTATTTTCCACCTTAGTTGGTTTGACATGTTTACTATTTAGAGTGTTGATGGTTCATCTTAATGTTTTCATTGTGTTCTTCATAAAATTATTACAGTTATATTGTAGAAAATTTTGCAACTGGAAGAAAATTAACTTCCAAGTCCCTACTACCATTGTAACTAACATAATGAAAAATTTTCTCATCTGTAGTTTTCAAAGTATGTTGCATTCTTACCTGGCCTCAATATATCTAGAGATCAAATGTTTTCTTCTGATTTTAAAACTTTTATCTAAAGCTCCTCCAGACTCCAAAATTATGTGATTCTACATGGAAGCCAAAAATATATATATATATATAAACTATTGAATATGGTCTCATTAAATGAAGCATTCCTGTACTAGTTCCTATAGACATTTGGGGTTATTTTTCTTAGACACAAACTCTCATTTTGCCTGATTTGAAATTATTGACCAGTTGGGATTTTCACCTGCTATGAAAAATAGAGTTGGGAGAACTGTCAGAGTAATAAACCCTCATTAATTCTGAGCATACCCTGCTCAAATAGTTATGAATCTCAAATCACTACAGTTTATTTTCATACTTTCTGTGAACAAGTGGGGCATTATTAGGCAAAATCAATACTATAAAAGAGAATGGAAGAGCAAACCTTACCTACTAAGGAGAACAAACTGCTTTTCGATACATTAGCAGTATCACTCACACAGACAGTATGACTTGGGTGCCCACAGAGGTGGGACCCGCAGGGCCACACGCCGGCGGATGGGCTGACATGGTGCTCACAGATCAATGCGGCAGCTGTCGGAGACCACACGTCTCTGGTGGGAATTCTTTTGCTGCCGGTAACCAGCTAGAGTCACGTGTGCTAACACGAGGGGGTGGCACAGAACGAGGAATTACCAGCCAGGCAATCCGGAATGATTGCTCCAAATCTATGAAATTTATCTTTAAAACTAAAAACTTGAAAGAAAAAAAAAAAAAACGATTAAAGTCTCTTTGCTACGCGTGCTGTTCATCAGGTGGTGGCAAAACAGTTTTATTCTGTTTACCCACCAGAATCTCACAAACAGCAAGAAGAATGAGACTGTAGAGAGGAGAGGAGGAATGACAGGACAATGACTTGCTGAGGGGCTCAGAGGACAGGAAGGTGGAGGCGTTAACAGGGAACTGAACTAGGGCCGCCGGGGACTGGGCTCTCGGCGGTCACAGACAGCAGTAAGGACATTCCGAGGAGGTCGTAGATCTTTGTACCTTTTAAATACTCAGCCAAAAGGTGACAGTTACGCGCGCCTTTCCTAATTCTTGGGTCTTGTTCACAGGGTCACACAAGGTACATAAAGAGTTTGAAAAAGCATAAAGGATGATGATGATGGTGAGACTAATAAGCATCACAGCATGTCAGCATTTCTTGAGAATCCAGCCACTGTTCTATTTCACATGTACAATCTCACGTAAGCCTCATCATAACATTATCCGCACTTTCTGATAAAGAAACAGAAGCACAGAGAAGTTAAGCAACTTGACTAAAGTTGCACAGCTGGTCAGCAGTGGAACTGGAATTGAATCCAAGTAACCTGCTCCCAGGGCTCGTGCTCCAAACTGCTGATATCATGTAATATAAGCTAATGAGGCTAATGTCCACGGTGATGCAAAATGGGTGTTTCTTTCGGAAAATCCCATAGCAAACACAAACCTGTAAGCCTACTATGTGCGGTGATGTTTTAATTTTAGTCCCTCTTTTCTTTTCCTATTCCCGTCATCCAAACAGTAAACATTTCTGAGAGTCTAATCGGCATCAGACATTATCCGAGGCTTGAGGGATCCTGCAATAAGCCGCGGAGGCCCCTGGTCTCCTGCAGTTTATGTGCTAGTAAGGAAAGTCAGTCAACAAACAAGCACAACAGAGCAGGCAGGGGTAAGCGCAAAGACGAAAGTAAAACAGGAGGTTGTGCCGAGTGGCAGGTGAGGAGCAGACAGCCACTACTGGAGCACAGGCTGCGTGTCAGCTCTGAGCCTGCCGCCGGAGAGAGACGCAGGCGTGAACAAGGCACATCTCCTGCTCTCGGGGAACTGCGCAGGCCCCGTCGCGATGGCCTCTGTGTCTTTCCCTGTAAAATGAGGCTTTTGCTCCAACAATCTGTGACTTCTTTCATTCAATTAGGAAGCCACCTAGGCAATACTTACCTTAACCCAGGTATTAGATAGAATGTAAATAATAAATGCTATAGCAACACTGTATTTTCTCCTTTAGAGTATTCCTGAAGTTTCACAGGAGAGACATACAAGTTGCAGGGGGGGGAGGAGAGGGACTGTTGAACTGGATCTGATCAGGCTTTAGCTGGGACCGTAATATTTATGCAAGCACTTCTTTTTCTTTTTTTTTTTTTTTTGAGACAGAGGCTCGCTTTGTTGCCCAGAGTGAGTGCCATGGCATCAGCCTAGCTCACAGCAACCTCAAACTCCTGGGCTGAAGCAATCCTGCTGCCTCAGCCTCCCGAGTAGCTGGGACTATAGGCATGCGCCACCATGCCCGGCTAATTTTTTCTATATATATTAGTTGGCCAATTAATTTATTTTTATTTATACTAGAGATGGGGGTCTCACTCTTGCTCAGGTTGGTTTCGAACTCCTGAGCTCAAACGATCCGCCCGCCTCGGCCTCCCAGAGAGCTAGGATTACAGGCCTGAGCCACCGCCCGGCCTATGCAAGCACGTAGGTCCTTATTAGATAGTATTATATCTGTAGTCAGATAATTTCCATCTCTCCTGGGGAGAGAATTGGAGGAAGGGGCCTCTCAAGAAGCATGGAGATTTAAGGTCAAAACAAGAGAGAGTTGGCACAGTGAACAAAAGGCAAGACATTGGAAAGAAAAGTGACAAAATTACGTATTCTTTTCCCCTGGGGAGCTTAATCAATCAAAGAAGTTGTATTCTGGTACGGCCTTCCCAGAAGCAGACGGGTAAAGGGACTCACCCCGGGGTTTCCTTGGCCCCAGGAGGCTCTGATGACGACAGAGCGTGGTTTGTGACCGTGCAACCGCACGCACGGTCTCCGTTATCCCTTGCCGCCCGGGCAGGGCGCGAGCTATGCCACTTTCTACTTGTATTTCAGGCTGGTAATCTGTGCTAAGAGAAAATACTTCAGAAGTACCACTGGGAAGCCCTATGACAGGAACGGATGCGGCGAGATGTACCAGAGGAATAAAGGCCGACTCACGAAACAGTGGAGTCTGAGAGATGTACCAGAACCCAGAAACCCAACCTGTCGTTTTGCATCAGGACACAAGCCAGGCATGCAGGACACCTGCAAAAACACGGTAAACCAACCGCGTGCCTCGGCAGGATTACCGGAGCACTTTGACCACCGGGATGAATCATTAGAGTAGGATATTATGTGATTTAATAATCTGGCCCAAGAAATAACATCAGCCTGAAACAAAGGAGGACCTGACACAGACAATTACTACTGATGACCGTAACAAGATTGGGAGCGACAGTCTGTTATTGCACTTAAAGCCCTAACAGGAGAGTGTGGTCCTCAGAGTGGGAGAGAGAAAAAATGGGAAGACAGAAGAGAGTGGGGAGAAAGTGTACCTGCAAGTTCAATTTAAACCAGCAAGGCTCTTAGAAAAGAGGAGAGAAGAATATTTGATATACTGCGTAAACCACTGCACACATTCGTATTTAACGACAGTGATTCGATAGGCAAAAGGTACACAGTATTCACTGACTTGTGGACACACTTACAGAGCATTTGCAGCACTGTTCAGGGGTCCTCAAACTTTTTAAACAGGGGGCCAGTTCACTGGCCCTCAGACCGTTGGAGACTGTGGTGCACATTCCACACATGCGCACTGTGGGGCCGGGACGAGTCGGCTGCTAAGCAGGACAGGCAGTGGCGGCAAAAACACCCGGCAGGCTAGATAAATGTCCTCGGCGGGCCACATGTGGCCCGTGGGCCGTGGTTTGAGGACCTCTGGATATATTATCATGTAAAATATCTTATGTACATAGTTATAATTTTCTCTCCTTTAATTTCTTCTATAGTGGGAGACAGACTACCCAAAAAACAAAACAATAAAAAAAAAAAAAATAACCTATTAAGGAACTCCTAGATGCTTGTGGATTTTTAGCATTTGTCTTGGGAACCCTACTACCTGCAGGAGGCTAAGCAATTACATCCACCCCAGCTGTGTGTGTCTGTGCACCAACACACTCACACCAGTTCCTACAGCATGCCCAGGGCTACCTCATTTTTCTTAGAATCCTGTGGTTTCAGTCCAATGCTGAGAAAAGAGATTTGTTTTCCTCCTTCTATATAATACTGAGAGCTTTAGCACTATCTGCTACGTTCTCTTTTCTCCCCAGATTTATTTGCAGTTTTAGGGGTTCAATTCCTGATCAAGCGATGCAGAAAACTAAATGCAACTCCAAGACATGCAAACGGACTCCGAGCATGGCTCTTCGGCCCACGGGCGACTGTCGCTCCTTACCTTTATCGTAGATTTCCTTCAGGACCCCTCGCTTGATCAGCTCTTCTCTGCTTTGCCTCATTGATATTTTCCTTTCCAGGGCTACATGCAAAAGGCAAACAGAGAAGCAGATGTGAGTAGTTCACAAAGCTATTTGTTAAAGGACCCGGTGTTAATGCACACAGCAGTGTAATGTATGGGGAAGCTTCTGGAAATTGTGCTTTGCTAATGTAAGCTAATGAGATATGCCAGCTAATACTTTTTGACACTATCATATGCCTTTTAACCAGATGTCGTTTAATCTTCAAAATAATCTTCCAATTACCTATGAGGTAGGCATTTTTATTTAATTTTATTTAACCCTGATTTATGGACGAGCAAACTGCAATATAGAAAAGCTCAATGACTTGTCAGAGTCACGCTGCCACTGAGAAAAGGAACCAGGATCCAACGCCAGAAACACGACCTCTGATCTCAGCTTACCCTCTACGTCATACTGAGCCCCCCCCCCGCCACCCCGCACCCCTTCCCCCCAGCATGGCACCGCCTCAGAGCTGGGATTGCTCTTTCAATGACCTAGTTCACAGAGATCACCCTTCACTTAGGATTCTGTTGCTTTCCAACTATATATATATATTTTTTAAAATGGCATGGAAATATCTTCTGAGCAGCTCTGTGGACTGTCCTCCCACGGTGCCGAGGTGAGACTCTCTGAGGGGTGGTCAGTTGGGGTACAGATCACATGGAAGCAGAGCCCGGGAGTGGAGAAGCGAGGGGCTGCCCAAAACGCAGGCCCACAGCTCATAGGAGGCCACGGCAGAGCCCAGGAAGACGGGGCCATTCCCCGGTTGGCCCTGCAGGCAGGGGCACACTGACTTGGGGAGAGGAGCGCTTTGTTCTGTTGCCTTTGTCAGCTTGAAAATCTCCACATCCTTTGGAAACATGATGATTGAGGGGGATAAAACCACTTATAAAAAACAAAGGAACTATTTTATGCAGACACATTCAGATACAAATTAATTAACTACTCACACCCCTCAATAGAATTTGGTCCAAAGAATAAATTTAGTCCAGAGAACTAGAAAAGATAGCAGGGAAACTGGGCTAGTCAAGTCACTGTGTCAGTCTGGGAACGCAGGGACGCCTCAGCCCGGCTGTTCCAGTCTCACGGGCCCACGATGGCACCAGGACATCCTGCCTGTGATGAAAGCTCTCTGGCTCACTCTCAGGCATAGCTTGGCTGAGAGTCACTGATTCTGTATTTCAGAACTTACTAGGAAATGTTATGTCCTAGCTCCTTCTCTTAAATTATGACGAATTAAATGGTATGAGAGAGAAAAGGAAATGCCAGGTTAGGTTGTGTTCACACAGAGCTGACGAGAACATGTTAATACTAGAGACATGCAAATCTACAAGCACAGAGGTGAGGGCAGGAGGGTTACTCAGGACTAGGGGCAAAGAGGGGTGCAGGAACACCAGAGCAGCGTTTGTTTTGGGGGCTCAAGAGTTTTACGGCCCAGACCAAAGGACATGATACAGTGGCAGGAATGCAGAAGGATGTTCTCTGTGCACAAGAGGGCTTGGGAACAGTTGGAGGAGGGAAAGGGAACTGCATAGAGTTGGGTTAGAAAGTTCTGCCTGATTTGGAAAGATCTGCTTAGCAGCACAGTGGGAGATGACTGGAGAGGTAAGGGGACGTGGGGCTTTTAAGCAAGGAGTTTGTTATAGGTCTTGGGGACAGGAAGCTGCCAGATATAAAGAGATGCTTTGCCATCCTGTTCTTATCCGCATAAACCAAACAGGTTTCTCTTAAACAAAATGATGTTTCTCAAGGGCTTTTCAGAAGCACAGACTGGAGTGGATGGAGCTGGTCCATGGCACCGCAGGAAGCATCTGCAATGAGGTGGGCAGAACCCTGGACTTGGAAGCCCAAGATCCCCGTAGCATGTGGATGTTCTCAGGCCAACTTAGACGCTGGGATCTCAGCTGTCCTGCCACACTAATCCAATCACTATGGACACATTGCATGTGGTGAAGGGAGCTTGCTAGGGCTGGAGGTGGTGGCGACCAAAGGGACAGCCCCTGCCCTCATAGTGTTTACAGATAACTGTGACATTCCGTCTATCATCAAATAATGACATTATCTAATGTGTGATTACAAATTGAGATAAGTTCTCCCAAAGGAAAGGGACATGGTCCTATACAGCATGTGATAAATAATGTTCCCCCCCATGGGGTGTTAAAAAAAGATTTTTTTTAAGACACAGGGTCTCACTCTGTCACCTAGACTGCAGTGCAGTGGCATGATCCTAGCCCCAACTCTAAAAAAAATTTAAAAATTAACCAGGCATGGCAGCCTATGGTCCTAGCTACTAGAGAGGCTGAGGTGGAAGGATTGCTTGAGCCCAAGAGTTTGAGGCTTCAGTGAACTCAAGCAATCCTCTCACCTCAGCCTCCTGAATAGCTGGGACCATAGGTGTACCCAACCATGCCTGGTTAATTTTTTAAAATTTTTTGTAGAAGCAGGGTCTTGCTATATTGCCCAGGCTGGTCTCTAATTCCTGGTCTCAAGCAATCCTCCCATCTCAGTTTCCCAAGTGCTGGGATACAGGTCTGAGCCACTGCACCCAGCCTAAAAAGGATCCCCGAGTTGAGATTTGAAAGATGAATATATCTTATCTCAGCAAAGGGCAGTCAGGTAGGGGCCAAGGGAAATGCTCCAGACAGAGCAGGCTTGGCAATGAATGGCTCCTGACAGAGGAATCATGGTGTGTCGTGGCAGAGGAGAAAGAAAGTCTGGGTGGCTGCAGCCAACAGCTCAGGTGGAGAAAGTTTGAGATGAAGCTGGAGGGCAGGGGGCTGGGCAATGGGAAGGAATGATCAGATTTGAGTATTTGAAAGATGCATGTTGATTTCAGTGTGGAGAATGGATTGGAAGGAGGCCAGTTACTAGGTGATTACAGACATCTAGGCAGGGGATGATGGCAGCTGAGACTAAGATGCCGGCAACAGAGCCAAAGGATGCATCCAAGACACGGGAAGGTGGCGATGTGGATGCGACCGGAAGTTAAAAGCTGGATGAGGTACATGCAGGAAACAGAGGGGCCAAGGACGACGACCCCTTGCTTCCTGGCGTGCATAACGGAATGGAAGGTGCTGTCAATGACTAAGGCAGGAAATACAGGCTGGGAGTCGGGTCTGGAGGGCAGGTGATGAGCGGCACATCCAAGAGAAGATATCAAGTGTGTGCTAGGAAATGTAGCTGGATACTTCATAAAGCAGGAATGGGAAGTTAAATGAGACTGTGCAGACTATGCTAGACAGCTTCACATCCAAGTGTTTCTCAGACTTTTCCACGGACACACTCGTTACAGCAAGGGAGGGACGCCAGGGGCTCCAAGGTTAAGACTTGAAGTTGCCTGCCCCAAGCATGCCATTTCTTGCAGGGGTCCTCAAACTATGGTCCGCGGGCCACATGTGGCCTGCCGGGGACATTTATCCAGCCCACCAGATGTTTTTGCCGCCCCGCTGCCTGTCCTGCTGAGCAGCCAACTCATCCCAGGCCCACAGTGCGCATGTGTGGAATGTGCGCCGCACTCTCCAACGGCCCTCCAACGGTCTGAGGGACAGTGAACTGGACCCCCTGTTTAAAAAGTTTGAGGACCCTTGAATTGTATTGAGTTTTTCTTTAAAAATTAAGGTGGACCTCACATCATATATCTGCTCTAATTTAAATAAGAAACCCCACTCCCACCCCACCGCTGCCACCAGTTTCCAAGTTAAATTAACATTCTGGGAAGAGATGGCTATTTATTCCATGGCTTTGGCCACTTACTGTTACAGGACCCTGAGCTTCCAGGCTCAGCAGCACAGATCACTTTGAGAAAGGTGAAAAGTTGTGTTATTTAACTCAATCCTCACCACGGGCCCATAAAGTATTATCATTCCCATTATACAGATGAGGTACCTGAGGCCCAGCAAAGTGAACTTGCTCAGAGTCACAGAGCAGTAGGTGGAAGAACAGAAAGAGACTTTAATGCTCCTCCTTTTTTCTCCAGGTGTGAAACCGTAGGCTCTGCAAATGGAAGGCTATCTGATTACTAATTTACTTGGGGTTGAGAGTCATGGCAAAGCGACATAATTCCACGTCATTCCCAGGAGCTTCCTCCTTGTTAGGCAACGTTCCCTGATCGTCTCTCTTCACAAGGTATGCGCGATGCCTCCTCATCTCACCTGCAACAGCCCTTCCAAAGGCAGAGCTGGGGCCAAAGACAAGCCCACCGCTGCCCCGGGAAGTGAGATAAAGTGGGCTGTCAGGCGCAAAAGGACAACTCAAACCATGTGGCCTGGTTTACGACTGAACCACAAAACCATAAAACAAGTGGGATTAATGTGGCGGGAAAAAAAATGTAACAGTTTCCTTATAACCAACCAAGGAAATGCTCTAACCTTCCCTCCCTGATAATTTTCGTTTTCGGTAGAACAGATATGAAAAAGGAAGAAAAGAGAAGAAATTATGAAAAGTTAAAGAAGTCCGAAGAGGAGTGAGGCATGAGGGAAGGTGTGAAGTGTAGCGTGTACTGCACCTGCCCAGAGGATGGCAGGACTGAAACAGATCAGCTCAGCGAGAACCGGGGCATGAAGGAGAGCTGATTACTCGGGAGTGTTTGGTCTTTGGGAGGTAGGAAGTGAAAGTGAACAGAACAAAAGCATCCATCCCTTTAAAAAAAAAAGAATAAAAATCTGTATTGTTAGACATCAGGCAAAAACATACAAGCAGGTATTACTTTATATAAAAGAAAAATAAAGTCAGTAGAGACTTATTTTAAAAGAAGAAAATCTATCTTCAAATGCAGGGATCACTCTAATAATATTCAATTATTAAAGTACAGGGCACTATAAAATCTGAGTGAGATATTTTTGTATAAGGTTTTTAGTTATAAAACTGGATTGTGGTGACTGATGGTTGCACAACTCTATACATTTACTAAAAATTGCTGTGTTGCACACTTACAATGGGTAAATTTCATGGTATATGAATTATATTTCAATAAAGCCATTAGAAATGGGTGAGGAAGGGTAACCACTGTGCACTAAAAATC